ACAACAACACGATTTTTATACAACAATTGAATACGGAAAAGACAGTGTGCATTCTCAATACATCGACAAATATCAGTCAACACTAAGCTGCAAAAAGAATCAGATAATTAAGTTACCTCATTACTTGCAACAAACAGCGAATTTTGTACAACATTCGGACTATCAAGCTACTAAATTGGGTGTTCCAACTGCATAACTGTCGGTTTGAGAATCAAAGTTGAAGCTTTTGGCGACATCAAAGAAATGGGCCACAGCTTCTTCAGGAGTACTGACAAGAACTCCATGGCCCAGGTTTAAGATGTGGCCCTTTGTTCCCGCACAATTTACAACCCTGACAAACCACACAAATGACAAATTGTGTCGGCTTAATTTGCAACAAGTTGAAAAATAAACAATGAGCTAAGCTTATAGGATAAAAACCTCCACCTTGCAAAGGCCTAAAACCTAATCGTACATTCAAGGTTAAATGGAATAATAATTGGGTAAGTTGAAATTATCCAAACAAGAAGGAAAGAATACTACGCAAGTATCTCAATGGTTAAGCGGCAACGTTAATTGCTGATTTATGCAGGTCTTTTTAGATTTCTGATTCAACTCTAGTATGACTAGACTTGCCAATACACGAATTTCACAATCTAATCACCGTATAATGTATATCCTTTTTAACTAGTTCAAATGTTTAGCTTCGGAAATACTACAAACTCCTGATTATGAAATACTAGTAAACCCACCGAGTGCATATGCAGAAACTAAAGAAAAAAATAGAAAATAATATAAGTTGTATATGTATACTAGTATTTAAAAATAAGAACTAAGTTTATACTTTATAAAAAAAATAGAAAATAATATAAGTTGACGTGTATACTAGGATTTAGAAATAAGAGTTAAGTTTATACTTTATACAGTGTATACATCGAATTATATAAAATTGATTATTACAATACATTTAATATAAATACAGATTATTTACTATAAATTAATAGCTATGTCAAACATAATTAGTAATGTATTGTATTGATATTTATCAGTTGAATTGGAATATATGTATTAGCAATAAACAATGTAAATCCACAATACAGACAATTAGGATAAATCACATTTTAGAGATATTTGTTTCATAATTTATATGGATCATATAATTTTACATTTTGTGAGTAGAGTATGAAAATCAAATTAAATGCCCTTTATATATAATTACAGAATGCACTGAGCTTAAGTGGCAACTTTGCATGCTTCGTAATCTTATGCGGCAAAATATAAGGCATTTTAACATGGCTGGAATAAAAATTACTACTTTTTTACATCAAATACTTAAAGTTTGGATTGCCATAATACATATTTAATAAATTCAAACTATTCCCTATAAATCTATTTATCAATTTCTATAACGTGTATATTATCTCACTTTCCAATTTTTTTTTTTTATTTTGTTCATATTATTCTCTTATGCGTTTTAACTAAAAATTTTATAAATAAAACTAATGATGTGTGCAAATTAGTTTTTAGAATTTAAAATAATATTGTTCATTCACTTAGTTCTTTATTATAAATTGTTATATATTGTTCTTTTTTATTTTCAACTTCAACAAAATATGTAAACATATTTTTATTTTTGTTATACGTTTAATATTTTATCAAATGCTCGTGTAGTACACGAGTATCGTACTAGTATCATATAAACACGACTAATTCAATATATTATACATTAAAATGTATTAAATATCATGAAAAAATACTTTTGTAAATAATATACTCTTGCAATTTTGATAATATTATCAAATGTAAATTATTATTTTGTTAAGACTCTCACGCGCGCACCCAAGAGTTAAAAAGAAAATTTGGTTAGATACGCCGTTACAAATCTTAGAAAAAATACTTTTGTAAATAATATACTCTTGCAATTTTGATAATATTATCAAATGTAAATTATTATTTTGTTAAGACTCTCGCCCGCGCACCCAAGAGTTAAAAAGAAAATTTGGTTAAATACACCGTTACAAATCTTAGTAAATTGAAATTAAATGGACACGCTAAATTTGATAGTGTAGTTTAGGCGGGAAAAAACTAATCAAAATTAAGAATAGGGCCAAATAATATATACATATACATATGCATAGATTTGTAGCTTCTACTTCAATATATCATTTCTTTTAATTTTGGAAGTCTTTGCAAGCATTCTCTTGGTATAAGAGGAACTCAAATCAATGAAATGAGACATGTCCAATTATATTCAACTGCTTTGAAACGATGAACTTCGAAAGTCACTTAAGTTTATCTGACAAACCTTTTAATTTCATTTGTTATGGCCGGAAGAGGAGAGAATAGATAGGCGGGATCCACATTTCCTTGTATGCTGATATCTTTCCCTAGACGTGCCCTTCCATCAGCCATATCCACTGTCCAGTCGAGCCCGATGACATCAACTCCCGTTCCTTTCATCCGTTCAAGAAGCCCACCATTTCCATTGATGTATAGCACAAGTGGCGTTTGAGGGCATTTCTGCTTAACTATTCTTACGATCTGCATTCATAAAGGGACGATGGGTCATTGCTTCATGTGGGCTCTAAATTGCTCGAAAGAACGAAAAATGATTCAGACAAGCAAAGTAAAAAAAAAAGGAAATTAAAAAAAAAAGTCACCTCATTGATATAAGGCTTAGACCACTGGTCCCACATGTCAGGTGGCAATTGGCCACCCCACGAATCGAATATTTGTATACAGTGAGCCCCAGACTCTACTTGGTAAACGACATATTCAGCTATTACCTTTGTCAGATGAGACAGAAGAACCTTTAGCAAATCGGGTGTTGTATGACACATGCTCTTTATTGTCGTGTATGTTCGAGTCGTGCCCCCTTCGACTATATATGTAGCGATTGTCCAGGGAGCTCCAACAAAACCCAAAACTGCAGCTTGTTCTCCTACCTGTAAATGGAAATGGGTTAAAAATCCAATTTTTCATAGATAGTATTTAAGAAAGGCAAGGGTTAATTAAATACGGAAAACCACCTATGAGTTTTGGCCAAATTACTAAAAATACACTTGAATTTACGAAAGGAATCCTTGAGATTACGACCATTTCTTACATTTTGTATATGCCTCTGGCGGAGCTTTTATGGAACTGGCTAACTGTCACCAAATATATTTAAATTACACTCCTCGAATATTGAAAAATGTTACAAATAAAATAATCCAACTTTTTCTCTTACATTTTACCTTTTGCATATCTCAGTTGTTCAAAATATTACAAACAGCCAATGAGAAAAGCGTTATTATGTTAAAAACTTGAGGATGCAATTTCAAATGTTTGATGACTTCAACAAATTCCATTTACATGAAGTAACAGTTAGGAAAAAAAAAAGGGAAAAAAAAAAAAAAAAAACCTCAAGGGTGGTTTTCTAAATACACCAAAATCAAGGGTCATTTTATAATCATTCCAAAAATACTAAAGAGCATTGTACCAGCAGGACCATATCTTTCATTGCAAGTCGTGAAAAATGATGGGACGCTAAAACTAACCTCTTTTCGCAATATCCTAAGAGACTCCCCAACAAACTGCAGTTTATCCAAATCAATCGGGTGCAACGTTTTCAAGTCCTCCTCAGAACGAATGGGGGACTGTATAACAGGACCTCGAACCTCCTCTATGTCAAAGGGAACACCGAATGCGGGTAATGGAGTAAGTATGTCTGAGAAAATAATAACTCCATCTGGCCGAAAAGCTTCCCAAGGCTGCAAAGAAATTTGCACGATGAGATCAGTTGTCTCTGACCTCTCCCTGAAGGACGGGTATTTCTCTGCAAGCTTTCGATAAACGGCCATGTACCTTCCAGCCTGGCGCATCATCCATGCAGGAGGCCGGTTAACTGATTCCCCTCTCGCAGCTTTGACCAAAAGAGGATCTGATTGGAATTATCGGAGATCAAAGTTCATTACCATGACTACTTGAGAAAATTAATAAAAGAATGTAATACTGAGGCCAGAGTTGTCTTAACTCGATACTCGATAGATTAAGAATAATGCAGTTTACAGAAAATCCAGAACACTGTCTAAGAAATAGAACAAGTGCATAATAAGGGCAGGCATAACCTGTTTGATTTGTGGGAAATTCATTGAAAGGTACTTTATAATGTCCGAAACCAAAGAAAACGCGACTTGACAGTGAAAGCAAGGGAAACCAATTGTTACCTGTATTCCAACATTATACTTTCTGTATATGAGACCCAAGGATAAAGCTCGGAAAAGGAAAGGGAAATTAGTGAAACAAATTCCACCTTTGCACTTTCTCTTTGTAAAAATGGCAATATCACCTTCAGTCGTAATATCAGTGTTTGAGGATCGATGTTTTGGTCATGAAAGGCAAGGGTGACATTTTCGCCAACACAAGAACAAAACTTGGCATTTTTTTTTTTTTTTNTTTCAAATGCCACAGAAAGAAAGGGAAAAGAAAGTAATAAGAAAGCATAGTTAGAAACAAATGCTGATTGCATAAACAAAAGTGATAGCGATAAGCTCTGAATCTTGATTTTTCTGAATCTTGATTTTATTAACGTCTGTTCAATCTCAAAATGTGGATAGAGGGAAACAAAATTCTCAACCCCACTGGCACAAACACACACAAATTAAGTGCGCACGAAAAAATACCAGATGAAGATGCAAGAGCGCGAGGCGAAGTAAATTTGCTTCTACGCCTGTGAGACATAAGAGCTCCATTGGTACTGCTAACTGGCACGAAATTCAGAGGCGCAAAGAAGCTCGACGATTTCCAGCCCACGCCAACGGTGCTGTAACTGCGTGCACAGCCGAAAAAGAAAAAGGAAAATGAGGAAAAATTGAACAGAATTTGTGAAATTGCAATCAATAGGGAAAGAAAATAGTTGAGAAGATGAACTGGACGAAGGGATTTAACTCGCTTGCCTACTTAATGTGGAGAAGCCCATTAAAGAAAATCTCGTTTCTTGCTTCTCGCTGGGTTTTCCCCTCCTCTACAGCCACTACTACTCTAACCCCTTATCTCAGTTGGGCAAGGCCATCTAGAAAAATTCATACTCAAACTCATTTTGTAATAATTGTCACATGTTGCATATTCAAACTCATTTTATAGTAATTGTCACATTTTATAGTAATTCATCTCAAACCGAAAAGTCTATTCTCAAATTCAAAAGAATATTCTCATAATATTCTCTTTTACATTAATTTTTACAATTTTTCAATACTACTCACATATTTTACAACTTTTCAATAATACACATATTTTAGAGTTTAAAAACTTGATTTCGAAACTATCTTATTTTAAATTGTGAAAAAATGGAATAAAATTAATTATAGATTGATAATTTATATACATAAAAATATTTAATAAATTTAAAAAATTATATTCTTTTTTGTTTATGTTAGTGCTATTTTTCAATTCTTAAAAATATGTTGGTAATTTTAATGTCATTTTTTTCTAAAAGTTGGTATATGTCATGGAATTTTAGTTTTCTTACTTTAAAAAGTTTTAATTTTAGTTTTCTTACTTTAAAAAATTTTAATTTATAAAGATGATATTGTTTGAATTTGTTATCAATTGTTAGAATGTTCTCTTTCTATAGATTATTTACTTTTGTAGGAATATTTTAAAAATATTGAGATTTATTTTGGATTGAATTTTGATCGAATGTATATATCATTTTTATTTTACTGTACAAATATTTAAAATCAATATTTTTAATAAGTTGAAAAATATATCTTTGTTTCATTTTCAAATTTACTATATTATTAAATTTGGATTGATGTAGCACACATCGTTTAATTTTTAATACTATCTTCCCTCCCACATGTTTTAATTTTTACATAGTTTAGTTGTATTATAAGAAGGTGGAGATAGATAATTTAAACTAAATGTTATTTGTTAACTCTAAGTAATTAAAGAGTTATTTTGTAATTTTTAAAAAATTTGCGTTTGTGAACTACGCATATTTGCGTTCAAATCAGAGAGAAAATGGTATAAAACGGGCGGTTGGTTGATGGCATTTTTGCATTGAGAAAATGGTATAAAATGGGTGGTTGGTTGATGGTATTTTTGCATTTGCGGTGGATTTTTGAGTTGGAGTAGGTCGCACAACAGTTGCCATGTTTTTGGATTGGAGTAGGTCTAGAGGGGTGGTTTTGCACATTTTGTTACGATGCACAAAACACAAAATTTGGCTTGCTTACCATGCCTGTATATTTGACAAATTTGCAAAGTCCAGAGAACCCAAAATTCCAAAAAACACTGTGATACAATTTTCACTGTGTTACGGTTTTGCTATTCGAATGTAAAAAAAAATAAATAAAGAATGGATTTTGGTTTCAAAATTTGTGTTTGATNTTTTTTTTTTAAAAAAAAAAAAAAAAGAATGGCTTTTGGTTTCATTTTTTATATGTTGGTATGGTGAGGTTACTTTCATCACCACCACCATGCCATTGGGTTCAGTTAGATTATTTTGCGCATACATTTATTTATTTGTGATGTACATTTCAATCTTAAAATTTTACTCTAAAATTACAACTAACAGATATACATCACATTTTCTCAAAATTATTACCAAACTTTTAGTGCAAATTAGCATTTCCTTAGTACCTTACATTAAATTTAACTCTAAACTATCCATCTAAATCTTTAGACAATTTCAAAGGATAATTTTTCGCAATTTCTTTCAGTTTACACCATAACTATATATCAGGAATTTGGGACGATTGGTCAGAGATTTGAATCATAAATATTGTTTAACAAAGTTTATAGAGTGCTTCACTGCCAAAAAAACTAATCGGTCGATTGCCCAAAATTTAAAAATCCGATCAACAATCAAAAACTACTATCGGAGTCTTTCTAAGACTTTGTGTAAAGATCTAACAGATGATTTTTTATGAATTGTCTAAATGCTTACTTCTAGAAGTATAAAATCTGATGGATTTAAAGTATCAATTACAACTAACAAAACAAACTTGATTTTAAAACTGATTAAGTTGAAATTAGGTAAAAAAATGGACAAACAAGAGTATCAATATTGAATTTTGCTCCAAAATTCACCCGCAAAATCCAAAACCCAAATGTTCAAATATCCAAATTTGATTACTTCGTGATGTATGCGAATATTCAGAACCGTTCAATTACTTCCTGGTGCATGAATAAATTAAAAAAAAAAAAGATCTCCTAACGGGCTCTTTGCATACAAGATTGGGATAAAAAATGTTCACCACAATGCTCGACTCAAATTTAATGCTCTACATCAATATAGGAAACATCTATTTTGAGATGTACTCAGCAATCATTTTGTCCTCAGGCGTGAGAAGTCAAATGAATTGTTAGAAGAGTAACATTGTCTAACCAATAGGAAGACTAACCAAATACATATTATTTAACTAACAATTGAACTTTAACCTTCTTCGGTTTAAAGAAGCCTGCAGAGAATACACTATTTTTCGTACCTGTGCAATAGGTACAAATTTGTGCCGGCTGTAGAACAAGTAAAATAAAATTGGCACGACTCTCATTTAACTTTATTAGCATCCTATACAAATCGCGAAAAAATCGGTGAATACACTAATTTATCAGGTCAGTGAAGAAAATGATTGAGAACTGATACTTGACCAGAATCTCCGTTTAGAAAGAAAACTTCCAAGGGTGCATAAGATGATGAAGAAGATGGCTTTGCAGAGGTAAATCTGTAAGTTGGTTGTAATATTTTGCTGCCCTTGGGACATGGAATTGTAAGAAGTCGAGGTCCTGTCCTCATCTGCCAGACCTACAAGAATAGAGTTAGATACTTGGGGCATGCTTGTTTATTAAATAATTTGTTATGTTTATTTCATACTCAAAATCTAACTCAGCTTTAACTCAACCCCACTATCCTTAATATTATTTATATAATTAAATAATATAAATCAATCGTTCTTACACATCACATCAACTTTAATTCATTATTCATCCGCTCACATAATTTTAACTACCTATCATTTTCATTCACTTCCAATCATTTATCTCCTACTTTTACATCAAATCAATAATAATCATTTTATTTTAGATATTATTTTAATACATTCTTAAATCACACTAACTAACCATACCACCTTTTTTTCAAAATTAACTCTGGTTAACCAAAAAACTCATTTTGAATAGATTATTATAAAGACAAGCGTGCCCTTAACTTCCCATCAGTCCAAGTGAAGAATACAAAAAACATATAATCAATCAAAGAACCGAAGCAGTTGGCGACTGGGAGTTATTTCGTGTGGCAGAGAATTATGTTGATATTAGCATGGTCATTTGACATCGATAAGGCATGAAAAGATAAAAAAGAAAAGAAAAAAAGAATATAAAAACAAGCGATTGTCGAACTCTGTAAAACAAATGGCTGTGCAGCAAATGTTCAAACGTCATGAGACAGGGTATGTCACTGCCTGGAAGCATTTCATGTGTATTGACAGAGTTGTGAAGAAAATATGGGGGTTAAAAGCAATTTTGTGAATATTAAATTACAAATGTTACCCCTGAAGTTTTGCATAAAAACAACAATTAGTATTCGGAATAATACATAATCTTTTCACGTATCAAAACACTGCCCGAGTGCAACATGTAGAAAGAAAATAAATATAATTGGACTGCTTGCAATTTACCAAAACAGGCGGGCTTATCTGTAAATGTGATTGGGCAGGACCTCATGGAAAAATGGGATTATTATGTAATTACCTCTTGTATGACTAGCCAGATGACATTCAACTATATTGCAAGTAGAGGCATGAGGGATGATAAGAAAAAATACCTCAACAATTCCTTTTCGAGGCGCATGGATGGCTAGACAGAGACAATAATCACTTTTGGAAAGTTCGCTATGAAGAGGAGAAGAAGCTGCTTTATCTTTACCAGCAAGCATCTCCACGAATAAGCAGCTCGCCTCACGATATCCCTACAGAAGAAGTCAACTTTAGAAAACAGATAAATATTGCGAGTAATTGGTAACATGTCCAGATGAAAAATTCACTGCTTTATAATCTGAAACTTGACAAAATAGTCCCTGAAGCTGGGTTTCAAATGTCAAGTGCCTAAAATCTGAAAAATATTTGTGCACATAATAATATTATTATACGGTACCTTCCATAGACGCACAACAACTAGTGCCTGTGTGTCTAAGAGCAAAATACGACCAAGTGAATCAGTTATTGCAGCCAAAGTACCACTTGGTGACAGCGTAAGCTTCTCGCCCTTCCTTGGACAATCCTGCAAACAAGTCAGAGGAGAGGCTGCCACAAAGTACATATTAATATTAAGAATTCAAGAGAGACATGTCATATAAAATATAAATTATACACATCCAATGAACACGATGAAGGTAGTCAAATGGTTGTCAAAGAAATAGTCAAAGATTACAAGAAAATTTCTCACCACGAGCAAATGGTTGTGTTTTAGCCTCTGGCTTCCTTTTGGGCTTTTGTTCACTCCGCCAAATCAATTTCGAAAACGATGCTATAGTAGAAACGGTTGCAGGAACAACTTTTGACAAGATAGCCCCCACTAAAGATCTGCTTTTATCAACCGAAAGTCTAGACGAAAGAAAACCAGCTATACAATTTAAATTCAAATAACAAGGCACTTTCAACTTAAAGGCAAGCTTTAAAGGAGTCAACAGACAACAAGTACTACAATTCAGAAACCCACTAACCTAAATGCTGATATCACGGCATCATCTCCAATAGTAACTGCACAATAGTAACGCTGGCTTGACTGCCCAACAATAAAATCAGCTGAATTCAAATACCAGAATAAATTCAGAAAGTTTTTCAAAATTCATGGAGTAAATCAATACAAAAATAAAGAACACAAGCAATAATCCACACAATCTAAACCTAATTCTATGATAAATTGTCGTTTATCTATGTATATCGATTTGGGCTTTGTGTGGATTAGCATTCGGGGGAAATTATTTTTACCTCAATTTCCTACCAAACACTACTTTTGCATTTCCAATCCATTTCTCTATTGATAAACACATTTTTAAAATGATGTTCCCTTCACCAATGACTAACCAAAAAAGCCATAGTATAAATGGAGGTGAATCTGACAATTACCTGAATCTCCATTAAAGGCGGGGGCATAACGCCTGTTATAGCAGCATCAGCACAGAGACCGTACTTGCTAACATTCCATAGCTGGTAAGGGAGGCTTGCAGAAGAATTTCCATTGTCATCCGGGAAACTATCATCAAAATCCTGATCCCAAACCTGAGAATTTGTTTCTTGAAACCACCGTTGCAGCAGATTCTGCATTAACCAAGGATTGTAGAGCAGAGAGAACTTAGCAGACAAAGAAACATGAAAAATCCCATGCAAACAGTAACTGCAATTCATGAACCCAATATCAGTTGTAAGCTTTCAACACGTGCAATGAACAAAAATCCATCAAGAGAATGTTCAACCACTTATTTTTTGAAGGCAAACACCACAAATCCTGATACCTTAACATCAGATCCATCGAAACGGGCAACTACACCAGGCATTACAACGCAAACCTCCTCTGAAGAGGTATCCTGCGTCAGATCTTGTTTGACCCCACGCACCCTTAACTTAAGTATCTTTCCAGGGTTTACAATCTGCAAAAAAATTAAATACGTTGCTGATCATGTAATGAATCGAAGCTTAACTATTGATAACAATTATCTTCTTAGCAGCCAAATGACAAATAGACCTTAAATAGAAATACGTAAGCTCAGCCACATCGTCTAATATAATGTTGGCCAGGTATATCACAAAATTAACTTCAAGAAATAACAAAGTCATAGTATTGCGATACCAAGTCACAAGCAAAAGGTGTATTAGCTAATATAAATCATAAAATCAGCCAATTGCCAAGATTAAACATAAAATTCCCAAAGCCCAAATGGGACATCCATGCTCAATCTGCCCAAATGACCACTATCTTTCCTATTTTTCCTGCAAAGGCACATATATTACTCGATAGCATTCCACAAAAGCTCGTTTTTTTTCTCAATTATCCTATTACTGATAAACAGTTGAGCAATTGAAAATCACCCCACCTGTCTGTGAATGAGACGGCCATGGCTGGAAAAGATCATAAGATAGCCGCAAGAGGTGCCGGCGGCAAGGACTCTGATGTCATCATCGAAGACGAGCCACTCGACGGCGGAGATATACTCGCCTTCAATGGGGGAGAGATCGGGTCGGATCTTGACGGCTCGGTGCTTTTCCGGATCGGGACGCCCGTTGATCGGCTGGGACCAGTTGAGGACGAGGATCAAGGACCGGTTGGCAAGCGCAAGCGAGTGGGTATCGAGGGAGACGAGGAGGTTAGGGTTATTCACCAGCCAACCTTCTTTTCCGGCACCGAAATCGGATAAATCTTGGCCAGCTATGCAACCGAGCTGCGTAGTGTGATTGCGGCGAGACATCGGAAAGTGATTCAGGGCATAGTGGATGATCGGAATTCCGGTGCTTTTTATGGCGCACTAATTTCGAACAATTTGGGAAAACAGAGATTTGCTTTGCTTTGTGGGAAAAAGAAAACAGTTTTGATGCAAGTCTATTCAGACTTTTGGCATCCCCATTTTAAAATTCGTTAATTAAATANGTAAAATATTATAACAAACTGAAAAATGTACAAGGTACAACCAACACCTACGGCCAAAATGGCAGAGTAAGAGACGCGCTAACAATGGCCACCTAAGAACACAAACCTAAACTATAGAAGAAGCCCAAAATACCGACAAGTCAAGTTAGGGTTCAGCACTAAACTACTGCTACAGCCGTGCAGAAAGAGCAAAAACTACACAAGCAAAAAGGATAATCTGCCACTGGACAAGTCTCTAGCAGATACACCACTAAACAAGGCCAAAAGCCAAAGCACAACAGAGATAGTTGGTTCGGGACAGCAGTTATGGAGGGTGTTGTCGGTGTTTTCTCCGGCTGAGGGTGGGTAGGCCTCCCTTTAGTTTTAAGGTTCTAGTGTCGTTCTTCGTTAGGCGGTTCGGCAGTTTTAGAGGCGATTCTGGGGTTGCGACCTCTTAATTGGGATCGATCGGTTGTCCTCTGGTTTTGGCTCGATAGTTCCGCTGTGGAAGAGCTCGTTTTTTAGTTGCTTGTTTCTCTTGTTTTGTTATTTTTTGTTGGCTTTGTTGTATTAGAAGTTCGTTTTGTTCGTTTTGTGCGTTTGTTTGTGCTTATTTAGCTTAAGTGGGAGTGGATATTATCCTATTAGGATTGCTAATTCTTTCTATTGGGAGGTTTGTAGTGTCTTTTGTGTCGTGAGTTGTTTAGTTACTAGCGTTGCTAGTATTGGATTTAAGCGATTTTTGGATCCGTTCTCCCAATCTTTAGCTGTTGATTGTTCCATTCGCTAGGGGCTATATCTATACACTTTTGTGCATTTATTTATAAAAATCCCGATTGGGAAAAACTCAAGCTCATATCCCCTTATATATTAATTCAGAACGTGCTGAACCTATGTGGCAGACTCGCATGCTTCGGAATCCTATGTGTCAAAATTAAATGCTTCGTTATTAAGTTTGGGTAGATTTAATTTACTTCTAATCCAAATATATTTAGGTTCAGATTATCTATAAATATGTTGATTATTTATGGTAGGGGTGGGCGCGGGACGGGATAGTCCTGGATCTGACTTGTGCGGATACTCATCCCATTTTTATGAATCCGTTCGTAAACGGTTCGGAATGAGGCATCGTCCCCACTCAAATGAGCCAGTATCTCCATCCATATAATACATGAGTGTTGTACTAGTACGCTTTTAAAAATGACGAGGATATTGGATGTCTAACGTGGCACAAATAAATGATGAAGGGTAAATCTGGAAAGTCAGCTGCCAAAAAATGTTCCTGAAGAAGACGGTAGAAGCTTCTCGATTGCCCTTGCTGCGCAAGCAAACGACCTTCTATATAAGCTAAAAGCTCAAACGTCACTTCAGCCATTGTTGATTAACACAGGCTGAACATAAAGCTCGCACAGGTCGCCGTAGATTCTTAATCGGAGGATAAACTAGCGAGGTTCGTGAAAATGGCGGGGATGATTGCTCAGGATTGGGAGCCGGTGGTGATCCGCAAGAAGCCGCCGACCGCCGCCGACCGGAAAGACGAGAAAGCGGTCAACGCCGCCCGCCGTGCAGGGGCCGAGATCGAAACTATAAGAAAGGGTAAGTTATTTTCATTTATCTAAATTTCCCCTCTTTTTTGTGCTTGTGGTGCTGTTTGTGCACTTGATTCCGGCTACAGACAAGCATATTCATGTATGTTAGTCCATTATGTTTGTGCGGCTAAAATCCATTTTGTATTTTCTATCCTATGGAGTTCGTGAATTTATTATAAGTTAGATGTGATCGATATTACGTGGAACTGTGTTCTCCTAGCAAGTGGATATGATGGATTTGGAGGTTATGTTATAAGTAATTTATTCTCCGTGAATCACACCGGGGAAGTATGGTTTTTTGTTAATCTTGCAGTTGGGTTTCTTACTTTAGTCTTAGTTGCTTGGTCTATCCTGTATGTTCCATATGATAGCTAGTAGCTAATCTCTGCATATGAATCTGGAAGATTGAATGTAGGATTACCTATTTTGATTAAATCGGGTTGAATATGTGATTTGTCTGTAATATACTAGTATTTACCTGAAATCAGTTTGATGCAGGTGACATGATTCTAGCTTTGTGGATTTGATATATTTTTGTTTGAGTTAATGTTAAAGCGGTGGAGGGCCTTCTAGGAAAATTATGTAATTGGTTTAGTGCATTTGCCCTTATGCTAATGTCATAGTTAAATTGGTTATTTTCTCCATGATGCTCGTGAGTAACGCTACTGATATTTATGTAGAGAGAGCCTAAAAATTGTGTTATTGGGTTTGTGTTTTAGCTTCTTTGCATCTTTTTTTCAACATTCATTTTGAATGGAAATGGTTGGTGCTTTATTTTGTTGCTCATTTGAGCTAATTGGCTCAATTGTTCAGTGTTACTCTTACTGTCTGCAGAACTTAGTGCAGAGATTCAAATTGAGCCAAAACTGTCACTTCATTAGTATGTTTGTGATTTAAAGTTTGCTGACTCTAGTTTACATGTTGCAGCTAATGCTGGCTTGAACAAGGCTGCCAAGAGCACCACCACACTGAACACAAGGAAGCTTGATGAAGACACAGAAAATCTGGCTCGTAAGTCGAAATCATGCTCTTCCTTCCCTTGATCCAGTTTCAATATTCGTACTTATTATTTTGGTGTATAGAGCCTGTGTTATTGCTGTTATATGATTGCGGTTATGTAGTAGGTTTAGTTTGATCTTTCTTGTGCAAGAATGTATAGGTCAGTCAGTAATATATTATAGTGGTAAAAGATTGTCTTGAAGGTTTTCTAGACAATGCCTTAGTAAATGGCAAGAATTGTCTTTCCATCAGACTTGCCTTAGTTTGTTGAGTGTTATTTTCGAGTTAATTGGTTTTATTATCTTTTTCTAACATCATTTTCATCATCACAGATGAAAAGGTCCCGACTGAGTTGAAGAAAGCTATCATGCAGGCACGGATGGATAAGAAACTTACACAAGCTCAACTTGCTAAAGTACTTTTCCCCTTAATTTTTTTTCCTGTATTCCAAAAGATGCATTTTGATATCTAATTTAGCCAAAGAGAGTTCTGTAGTTAAATTCTTTTGTTTACGGTTTTGTATTTGCAGATAATAAATGAGAAGCCTCAGGTAATACAGGAATATGAATCTGGAAAGGCAATACCCAACCAGCAGATCATTTCTAAACTGGAGAGGGCGCTCGGTGTAAAATTGAGGGGAAAGAAATAGGAAGTTTGTAAGGTGAAAAAATGGTCTACTTTGTACTCTTTTGTTGTTGGCTTTTATGTATGGCAGCTAAAAGTGATGCACAATGTACATGAATGATGGTCATTTTCCATGTTGCCTCTCATTTGTCAATAATATTGAAGAGATATTTGGCTCTCTTTATGAGAGAGGGTTATTTTGTTTGAAATCCTGATAGTCTTTCTTTAGGTTTATCATCAGTTATTGGAATCCAATTTTTGCAAAGTCGTAGCTAGCATAACTAACATAGAAGGAAGCACAGTAATAAGAGCTACCGAGTTATGCAGACAACTAATGAGAGCCCAAATTGAGCTTCTTTTGTTTTTCTAATTGTCCTAACTACATTTTTTCGTACACTAAGAAGTGTATTTTCTCGAATTGTTGTTATCATAATAAAGCAAAATCAAAGAAGAATCTTTGGGTTGGTTTAGCACAATTTAACATGTAAGGGTTTTCCAGCATTTATGTGCTCCAATTGCTGTTCATAACTTTATCGATAATTTCAATTTTTACAGAACTTTTTCAACTCGAACATGTTACAGAGTAAAAATCCTTCGCTGATACAATTTGTAGACAATAAGCGCAACCAAACTAAACTATATACACGACATTATTTTCATCATCAGATCATGATAACACATAAGTATGTAGAAAATCAAGTTTCTTGAAGCTCGATGGCCACAAGTAACCAACCAAACCAAATTCACTCACACGCCAGTTTTGTTCCGAAACTCGTCAGGCAAATAGCAAAAGCCTGAAAAGCCGACAAAGGCTGCCTGTAATCCATCGTGAAAGTATCGTCTCCCACTTTCCCAAACTGTAGAAGCACAGTCTCTTCATCACCTATCCCGTTGGGTTGACTTTGGTCAACTATCGCAACAAGTTGAAAATTCTTTACAGATGCAACAGTTACTCTACCGTGGAAGTTCAAGCACCAGCATTGCAAGTTCTCGTGCCATCTTGGAGCTTTGTTTTTCAGAACAGTAGATTCTGGTTTCTTCATTTTGGAAGAATAACAATAATCGGGATCTTTATGAGTTGATTTTGCTTCTTTCTCTGGAAAAAACGGGCAAGAAACTGAGCAAACCATTCTTCTGGGGCCTCTCGATTTCAAGAGGTTAAATTTGTACGAAACTTGACCGATTTCGAAGTTGCCAGCTGGGACTTGGGGACTTATCTGCTTGCTGGCAACACGTCGATCTGACTTACTGCTCGACGGTTTTGCTCCGCTGTGTGGTGGCTGGCTGTCGTATATCGTGAAATTTGTTCCGAGAAAATCTGACCTGCCAAAAATGAAGACAAGCAGATTGTTCAAAGTTTAACCGATAATTACATAACAATGTGACTTTATTTTTTCATGTATTAAAAAATTAGTAGGCTTTGAATGCTTGAGGGAAGCTAATAATAAGTAATAACACAACCAAATATAGAGAGGACCAAAGGAAGTATCGAGCCACGAAATGGGGTTTGGGATGAACTGAAATTCTGCTATTTGATTTCACTCAAATTTCACATAAAGGGATAAATAACTGAAATGCAGTTAGATACCTAATACCCTTTTTTTTTTTTTAACAAAAGTAAATCAATAGCGAAGGTACATTTTTTCATGATTTTGCAACTCATGTCAACAGCATAATTAGCTTTTAAAACTTCGACCATTAACTCAACATTACTAGATGCAGTGTTTCAATAGAATATTATCTTTTAAGCTTCATCAGAGGATTACAGCCTAAATCAACCTGCAGACTCTACCCAAGTGTTCTTAGAGAATATATTTTTACGCAGAAGCTTATGAAAGATCATATTACCAACTAATTTGGACTGCAATATGATTATTTCCCCACTTTTATGTAGTCCCAATAACCTTGGCCACAGACGCAATTCAGTGTTAAATTACGTATTCATCCTTGGTAGGACATTGTCTAATAATAATTTGGCAGCGTTTGAAAGTAAGCACCTTTCAATAAACACTATTAGCTTATCTCCAAGTGGTAATGTAAGCTCACATATTCTACGATTCTATAACCTTAAATGAGATAAATGACTTAATTGGTCCCGGTATAAATCAGGATAAACAATTTTACTACAACAGTCTGAAAAAAAGTGAGGATAACATAATAAATATCCTCACCTCAATTTCCCAACATAGGCCTTGCTTGCTGGAGAGAAGTCATCAGCGTCAAGAGATATAATGTACTCTGTGCGTGCACCATTTCGGTATCTTCGTGCAGCCAGCAGGAACTTCCCTTTATCCATGAATGCTGTTACATGTTACGAATAAAGGCATCAATCATCGAGTATAATTACTATAAGAGATACGGAGAGAAACTCCGGCTGAATTGAGATTCAGTAGCCAAAATGGAAACTGTGGAGATGAGAAGTGTTGATTGCGATAATTTCTAATTCAACTCTAAAATATACATTTTAAATGAATGCAGTACCATATTCACTAAGTCTGCTGGAATTTCAAACATGGAGAGTATCGCTATCCAGGTAGTAAATTTTATTTGCTAGCAAAGACCCCGCATCTAATTGCTTCTCTGGTATTGTTTATGTTTCGGGTTTTCTGTAAGGTATTTTACATTCCGCAATAGTTCATTCAATAATATTAAACTGGAAAACTGCATAATTAGGGTCATAAGAAATAAGAAACAACTAGAACATGAATCTGCTGAATCAGTTCATCCATAATATGTAGGTCCAAGACGGAAGACAACGAAACCATAATAAAACAATCCCAATTAGTGAGCTCACCAAGTACACCACTTACGTACAAGAACAAACTTGAAAAGAAATGTTTAATTTGGATTTAATCAAAATTAAGGTTTTCCCACATTTATATGGGAAGGAATAAATAATATATAAATTTATATCTTCAAATTTCGAGCTCACTTACATGGCGTCAGTCCAAGATATAGGTAAAATGTGGCATTCTTCTTGTCACGTTTTATAAGACATTGAATTGGAGACTCTCTAGGCCCGGGCTGCACAATAATACATCTAAGATTTAGATATGCACAAAAACACAAGCATCTAAAATTTAGGCATAAATGTGATTAGTAATGTATGGCATTTGGATCTGACTGAAGTTTTCTTGTGACGTATGAATTTTTAACCGTATTCACATGCCCGAGAGATACCGACACAAAATCAACATGTTCTTTTAGTAATTCACGTTTCGAAATATCAGACCAATGATCTTTCCGTTTGATATATCACATAATTTTCACGACAAGCGTTCTATACCATAAATCTCCATCAAAACTATACCATCATAGCTTTAACTCAGACACTTTGACAGACTAATGTTAATTTATCCAGAGATACCCATTTTTACTCAAACAATAACGCAATTACATGTTGTATAATATATTAGACAATGGCATCAATAAGCTTTCCTGCAAAGGTCCTTGAATATATCTACTTGGGAGTTGGGACATCCTAACACAAAATTTTCGCCTTGAAAGCACTTTGACTAAACCCGAAATTCTCATACATCATTGTGAACGAAATGAAAGCTCAAGCATTTGAAGCTTTAATTTTTCAAGACAAAAGCAGGTTCAGTCAAACTTCAATCCATGTTTAAGACCAAAATTTTCAATACACCAAATTAAGACCATAATTTTCAAATCGCACCAAATTAAGACCAAAATTTTGCAAATCAATCTAAGTCAAGTGAAAAAGGCCCAACCTTTTTCAGAGAAGAAGGAAAGGTGATCTTCCCCGGATGGCGGACGGAAGCCCTCTCCACCGCATCCACGGCGACTTCCCTCCACCCCCGGCAGACGCAGCCGCAGGCGACTACGCTCCGCCGCTGCGGCCACATTTCCTCGCTCGATTCAACCCTCTGTATGATCTCTCCGAGAAGTTCCGGAAGCATCCCCGCCCACGAACCTCCGGATCCGCCGCATGGCTGCTGCCCGCCGTTTTCCCCCGCCGGCTGAATATCACCGTCGCCGGCGACGGACTCCAGCTCCTTGAGGGACTTCGACGAGAGTGCGAAGGAACGGTGGATGATCCTCCGCGAGAGGTAAGATCTTCGAAGCGACGACATGATGACGATTACAATCTACACAGAGAGAGATAGAGACCGGAAAAGAGAGATTTCTAGAGAGAAAAGTGAAAAGAGAGATAAGCGCTGAATAAGAGAGATGTGCGTTGTGGAGATAACATCACCAGACTGTCACTTACTACGTTGGTGTATTCAATCGGTGTTAGTGTATTTTTGGACTTTTTCAAGGCTTCGATCGATTGCATTCGAATTGAATAAAAAAAAGAGTTTCAAAGTCCTCGATATCCTTTTTTTTTCCATTATAAAATAAATTCTCAAAATCTATAACTCATTTAACATATTTTTTTTTATAAATATTATTAATATAATTAATTAATTTCAACAAATCGTTACAACAAAATTTCTAACAAAATTCACAATTCGTTTAATCACATATTTATTACTTTTATATCACATTAGTTTTAATTATTACAATTTTAATTTGTATTTCATTCACAAATTCATAATCAAGTTCAAATTTTCATACACATAACTTTATTTCAATCTTCAATTTTGCTATGAAGTCATCGGATGGCTCGACTTATGGAGCCATCCACACTTATTCACTAATAGTGTATTGACAAGTGTCCTACAATAAATACAATTTGGACATGTGTCAATACATTAAGTGATGGATGGCTCCATAAAAATACCATCCGATGGCTCCATAGAATTTTTGTTTCAATCTTAACCCATTTTATTCAATAAATTAAAATTTACCCAAAATTTTTATATCCAATCACACAAGTCTTTAAAGGTAAATCTAACTTCCATACATAAAATTCATACGGAGTCTAAATCTAAAAATTGTTAAAGGTATTAAATTTTAATCAACTTTAAAATACTCTTAAAATCTAAACGAATATATATATCCTTTTTTCCTTTAACGGATGAAAGGGAGAAGTGAGAACCAATGACGAGACACGTGTAAGATATTTGTTGGGGTTATTTTGGGGTTTGTGACGGCCCTGTGAGGGTAGGAGTTGGTTGTGCAGGTTTTACACTTTAATGTCGTCCATGTTTGACTAATTGACTGGGTCTCACGACGTCGGTTCCCAGAATTTATAGTATTAAATTAATTAAATGAAGTAATAGTCAAATAACCAAATCTAATTTTGGAGGTTGATTTGGATTTTCTTTGATAATTATCTAATTACACCTTTGACCTTTGACTTTATCCTTTGTCGGAAACTTGACATACCCCTTGTGGAGCTTTCCTGCTAATAGCTATTAGACCGGGCTGGGATATAAGTAAAGTTGTTAACGAATCGAGCCTTCACGAATAAAAACTCGTTTGAGTTTATTAATTTGTTAATCGAGGAAAATTAGGCTCGTTTAATAATCGAATGAACACGAACTCGTTCGCGAACATTAATTTAATATAATTTTATTTTATTTTTTTTTATATTTACATGATGTTTTTCATAAAAAATATATATTATTTTTTGGAAAGAACAGTTTTCGAGTTAATCAAGTATATTTAAAATGTTTATTTCTTAAATTATTTGAACGCGAATGAACTTAAACTTTGACGAACAATCTCAAACACTAATTTTTGCTCGAAAAATAAACGAACGAACACGAATAGTGTTCGAACATATAAGGACACGAGCCCGAAATTTCCAAGCTCGGTCACTCGATTTGATTACAGCACTAGATATAATGGCATTTTCACTCATTTTGATAAACTTAATTCAAATTCAACTGAACGCAATAATCGAAAATATGCAGTAAAAAACAGTCCAATCGAACACTTAACTCAAACCCAAAAGTAGTTTTTCACCTTCTCTCATTTATAAATTACTTACAATAATAAACCTAAATAATATATCTAATTAATCACTGATGAACATGGGAAGCTCTACCGAAAGTGAAATTTATTAATTTTGACTTGTGCAATTTACATGAACTTACATTGTTATTAAATTACGACAACTAGTTTTCTACTCTGAAATTTCACTTAAATGATTATAAATTGATGTATGGCGTATATAAAATACAAGTTAGATTTAGATTTAGAGTACATCTAAATTGAATGCCTGTGCAACGAAGTACCTTAGCATATTCTATGTAGACATTTCTTCTTTAATACAGATATTAATCCTTCAACTTTATTGGGACCAACTAAAATCGTATGACAGCTATCTAGTTTACATTCCTTTGGGCACCTAATAATTTCAAACTCATTTAATGAGTATACTTTTTCTACGTTGGGTGAAATAATAAAAGGGGTGAAAATTGCACATTTCACTTTATTCAAAATTCAGTTTACATGTTTATCAAAGAATAATGACGTAGCCAAATGTTCAAAAGTTCAATTATCGACGCCTTAAAGTTCACAAATATGATAATTATGTGTACTTCTTGCAATTTCTTTTCTTTTCTCATGTACTTTGAAAGAAATAATCTCTGTCAAAAGCAGTGAAAAATGTCTCCAGAAATAATGCTAGCAGAAGCCAACCACATTGGTTCAAAGGCCTTCGAGAATGGTTGTTTGGAAAGGGAACACGAGTCTCTGTTTTTCGCGAGTCGCGACTCAATCTCGCGAGTCGCGACTTCCTGCTCACAATGCTCCTAGGAGAATCGCGACAATTATTCGCGAGTCGCGAAACACTGTCGCGAGTCGCGACTCTCGGTCACGAGTCGCGACTCTCGGTCACGAGTCGCGACTTCAAACCTGATGATACACTTAGTCTCTGTTATTTTCGCGAGCCGCGACTATCGACTCGTGCGTCGCGACGAAAACTCGCGAGTCGCGACATATTGCTTCCATTCATCATGCTCCCAGGAGAGTCGCGACACTCAGTCGCGAGTCGCGACTCATGGCCGCAAGTCCTGACGATGCTCATTCGTCTCTGTTATTTTCGCGAGTCGCTACTATCGACTCGCGAGTCGCGACTCCAAAGCATCCAGATTTTCGCGGTCCGACTGAATCTACACCGTATGTTTTGGGCTTCTTTCGATCCGTACGAACTCGTTCCGCGTTATGAATCCTACAACGAATGACTTATTGCACTTTGTTTCTAGAGACATTAGAGTGACCAACTGGCTTGTAGTTGGCCTCGTATAACTTATCTTGAGAATGAGGAACCGACTTGTGCTTGCCCATTTTGCTTCTGTATGCAGTCATCCGGCTGTCCGAAATATTTTTGAAATATACATTTCCATTTAACGATAAAAAAAAAAAGACAAACGAAGATAACTCAGAATCTATATCTATATAAAAAGAATACTTCCTCCGTTCTAAAATAAATGTCGTTCAAGTGTGTAATTCTTTTTAATTATTAATTGTCGTTTTAGATAACCATAAACTAATTGGTTGGATAAGTACTCCTCAAATCCTATAAATATGTAGTTTCATTTCATGGTTGTTTATTTTTAATGCTCCGTATAACTATTAAAGTGATAAGGAGAGAGAAAACTATTAAAAAGGTATTTTAAATACATTAGGAGATTTAGAAAAATCTAATAGCATGATAAGATAACCAATTCATTCAAAGACGTAATTTTGTTCTTTTAAGCTAGAAAGACATTTTTAAAACAAAGGGAGTAACTATTTACTAAAAATAGTAGCAAAAAAATTAATGAGCATTTAATGCATACTTTGTTTGGAAATTTTTAAATATATGCATTAATTGCTTTAATATACACATTTCCAAATCAGATATGATAAAAAAACTTCTTTACTTGAATAAATTTTATTAACATATGCAATAATTTTATTGATATCCATTATAATAAACTATAATTTGATTTTTCGTGATTGGTGTTGATAATATTTTGGTCAACATAAACATGAAAATAAAATTTAAGTCTTAACCATATTATTAATTTTTTTCACAAATGTGGACTTTCATCCTAAAATATTTATAAACAATCGTAACATGTTAAATAATTCTCCCTCTAACTAATTAGTCGAAATCAAGTTGGTGAATTAATATTTTTCGATAATATTTTTTAACCTTTATTTAATTATATAAACAAATAATTTTTTTAAATTAAAATAATTTACCATTTAAGAGATAATGATCACATCATTAAATAATTTATTAATGGTTAAATAATAAAATTAAAATATATTAACTATTCTTTACTGTTTCAACATTTGATTTATTTGTATATTATTGTCAAATTTTATTATTTTTATTTGTTTTCATAATGAATTTATTGTAAAATATATATTTATATTGCATAGTATGTTAAATAAACTAATAAAGCCTTAACATGCAAATTAGAAAAACCTCTTGATTACGTAAGGGTTTATTACAATTTGCTAAATCAATTTTTTTTAATTATTATGAGAAAATTAAATTCTAAAAAACATGTGTGTGTATTTTGTAAACATTTATACACAAAATTTTATTTTAAACTTCATTACATAAACTAAGAAGAAGAGACTACTTCTATAACCTTTATAAATAATAATAATGACATTATATGCTAATAAATATTATAATAAAATAATAATTGAGTATTAAATGGTGAACAAGAATAAGCATCATTTTTTTTCTTATATCGATGAATAAATATATATTGTAGAATCAAATTTATATTAGTATAACTGTTAGCAGAATGATATATTAATTAACATGTTAACGTTGTAACTAAAATAAATATCACTGATTGAAAGAAGTGGAAAATTGATGATCCAGCCCTATTATTTTTGTCAAAACGTACCAGGCCTATAAAAATGACTCAATTAATATATGTGTCCCGTGCATCATACGGCTGTGCACTAGTTACTACTTGGATTGTAACATAAAAAGATTGCGTGAAAGAGGACATAACCAGAGCTTCTAGTTCAACAAGGGATTGAGACATTACATATAGTTATTGGAGATAAAGTTTCTCCTTTGAGATAAAAGATCGATCCAATTGTACAACCTTGCAGGCAATTATAAATTACAATAATTTGATTATTTTGGGAACATTTTCAAATGAAAAACTCAGAGTTAAGTTCTGAAAATAAATAAATAAATAAAAAGCATGTCCACATTCTTCTAACACTTTAATAGTATTCTCCTGAACTTTGTTGTTTTATAAAAATCAATATGGAAGCCGTAAATTGGTCATATCGTCAACACATGAGACAGTTGAAATGAACAAAAAATAGTTAAATCACCTTCTGTCCATGGTATCTTACAAATTTCATAATGACATCTGTATCCTAAAAACTTCCATTATCTTAAAAATGCAATTAATATCCTCACCCACCACCACCAGTTGCCTCATTTCTCTTCTAAACTGTGTAGATCAATCATCATCAACATTTTAATCAACTTTACCAACAGACACTAACTTTTATAACAAAAGCAATGCTACAGAATTGTAAGATTCTAGTCCATTATTACACATCAAGAATGCTCAACTCTACAAATATAACAATAGCAAACAATAATGCTCTTCTGATTTAGTAATTCCTAGAATTAGTATTTTCATCAATTAGCAACTACATAAAGCAAATTTTTCAGCAAGCCTCTACTAAGGGGTGCAACAAGTGAAGTACAGCACAACCTAGTATTGTTCAGGGCTTCAGGCCTAATTGAATTCTACTCGATCTTCAAATATTATGCTTGAGGTTGATTTAGTTGTCAACTGAGTTGAGAACGAATAGCTTGATACTTTTACTCTGTTACTCAGCTTATTTAAACTTAATGAGTCGACTTTGAGGCAAGCTTCACATCTTATCAAATGGGACAGTAAGTGAGACCAGACACTGTTCATTTTGCTAAAGACTCTGTGTTCAAATGAGCTTCTAAAGATTGTATTGTTTCCAGTCATTCACCCACTCATACACAACTATAAAAGAGAAAACAAGCAAAATCACAACAATAAGGAGATCAAGAATTAAAATTATGGCATGATTGACCTATTTCCATTAAAACTTCACTGAAGTTACCATCAAGCAACACAAACATAAATATGAGCACGACTAGAACAACTTGCTCAGCACAAATCCTTGAGACAGGTCCACAAAATCCATGTCTTCAACAACTTTAGTAGAAAAACAAAGTGCCAGCATATTTATTCGGGAAATTGATAACAAAAGACATTAACCGAAAATATTTTCTCGTCAACCCTCTTTTGTATGTTGAAAAAATATATTATCATCTTTTGCTCCTATTCGATTGCTTTTCATTCCGAATTTGATGGGTTTCCCACAGAATGCCCGTTTAGTTGCTGCTTCACATCTTATCAAATGGATCAATGAGTGTGACTAGATTCAGTTAAATTTAGTAAAGAACCAAGTTCAAATGAACTCCTAAAGGTCATTATGTTTTCAGTAATTTGCCCACTCATACACAAATAGGAAAGAGCCAATAAGCAAGATCAAAACATCAAGCAGCGCAAAATATAAATATGAACACGATTAGAACGACTTACTCAGGAAAAATGACAAAAATCCTTGAAACAGATCCACTCTCAATTCCTTCAACATTTCCAGCAGAAAAACAAAGTGACAGTATATGTATTCAGAAAACAGATTATTCAAAGAGTAAATTCAACCGGTAATACTTCCTCCTCAACCCTTTTAAAAGTATCCCAAAAAAAAAGATGGTCTTTTTTGGCCCCTATTCGATTGTTTTTCGTACCGAATTTGATGGGTTTTCCACAGCAAGTCCGTTTAGCTGCTGCTGCTGCTGGTGCTTTTGAATCATCGACTTTCTTTGAAACTGATTCCACGTGTTGATTCCGATAGCGCAGACAGCTTCAGTAAAGAACACTTGAATTATGAGAGAAGGAGAGAGGATTCGTAAGAATAGATAGGAAATGTATGGTACCTCCGGCTCCGACAAAGTAGAGCAGCCGTACGAGCTTCGTTCGAACCACCTCGCCCGCCGGCAATTGCATCGTCCCTCTGATCGTCGTCGTCTCTCTCTCTCTCTCTCTCGGAGTCTCGGTCCGTGAGGGCTAGATGTTCGTAACTTCGGATCAATGCTTTGAGAATTTTTAATAGGTGAAAGTGGGAAATAAATGGTGTACACATTTTGTTTTTAATAAATGCAATAATCTATTAGTATATAATACGGAGAAGAAAAATTATTTGAACAATCCGAAAATAATTATTTCGTTTTCCCGCTTCAATATAGTGTTTTTCCCGCTTCTTCAATTCGTAAAATTTTTTTTTGAATTTTTTCAACCCATGCAATTAGGTAACCAATCAAATCGAATCTTTTAGCATTCAATATGGTAAGCTGTTCCGATTTTAGCATTCAAATCCGATTTCACTTCCTTTTTTTATGCCAATCAATCCGATTTTTTTGGTTGTTTCAAAATTTGTTTAAATTTATATTTTTATTTTATTAATATATTTGAAAGAGAATCAATAAATGTTTATCATAACTTTTATTTTAAAAATAAATTTGAATAAGCATACCTTTTACTTTATATGAAATTCAAAATTACATATTTTAATATATTAATAAACGTTTATTATTTATTTTTTCCTTATGTGATATAATAGAATTTCGGTATTAAATTTGTAAATTCAAACATTTAAAGGAAAAGATTCCAAACAATTCTTTTGGGTAAATTTCATTTTATCTTGGTTTTCATTATCACATTTCTAACAAATTAATTAGTATTATATTTTTTTATCTACATTATCTAACCGATTTTTTATGATACAATTAATATAATATCTTAACAAATTAGTCATTTGTCTAACCGGATTTATCTCTCTAACAAACTTGCCAATTTATTTTAAATTAAAATGGTATGATTATTCTTATGGAGATACTTATCAATATATTAAATATTTAGAAACTTTTTTTAAAAAATGAGTTATCCCTCCTTTTACTTTATTTGAAATTCTGACTTATATTTTTAAATATATTATTATTTATATTTTTACATGTAAATATTTATTATTTATTATCTAAGTGATAAATATTATTGATTTATCTCTTTAATAAATATTTATTATTTATTTTTTTCCCTACGTTATATAATGTAAATTTGGTTACTAGATTCTTAAATTCAAACATTTAGGAAAAAACCACGAACAAATTTTTTGGTTACATTTCATTTTATTTTAACTTCCATATAATCACAATCCTAACAAACTAATTAGTATAATAATTTTTTACCCATTTTTATATAATCGAATTTCTTAAAATATAATTAATATAACATTTTAACTATTTAATCATTTGTATAACTTGATTTAACTCATTATCAAACTTGCCAATTTTTTTTTTTTAAATTAAAAAAAATTTGGAAGATTTTTATTTGTAAAATAATAAAAAAATAGCTTTACTTTAAAGTCTGGATTATTTTCATTATTTTTTATACGTTAACAATCATATATTTTGGATTATTGATTTAAAAAAAAAAATCAAAACCCTAAGGTTTAATAATATTCCTTAAATAAAAAATATTGTATAAAGAAAAGTATTTAATATTATATATTTTTCATTGATTGTATTTATTTTATTTTCATAATAGACGAGATGTGAAAAATATAAATAATTATATTTAAAATAAAGACTAAAAAATGTTTAAAATATGAACTTTTCCGTGCATCGCACGGGATATACACTAGTAATTTGATAAGGGGAATGTAATCTATTAATATATAAAGAAATAATGATATTTACTTGAAATGGTAACTAAAAATCACTAGTTTCCCACCTAAAAATTCATATTTATTAAATTGAGTAATTTTTTTTGCCAAAGTTTAAAAAATCCCTCAATTTATGTAATTAATGTACAGAATCATTTTGATCAAATATTGCGGCTATTATCTTTATTAGTTGCATGATTTAAATTGGTATATAACATATTGACAAAACTTGCGACTATTAACTTTCTTAGTTGCATGGTTTAAATTTGGTATATAATACATTGGCCAAAAAAAATTATTTAAAAAATAAAAATAAAAAAATATATATATTCATAACTTGCAGGTCAATATTAACTTGGACGTAAACGAAATAGTCAATTATTTATAGTTCAATAAGTTACCCGACTACTTAATTTTTTTTATTTGAATAGTTTATACAAAAATAAATGTATTTTAATTGATGAAATAATATAAATTTATATTTATACTTATTATTCACATATGTTGTTAAATATATGATAAAATTTTACCAAAATAACTATTTTATGTAATCACATTATAGTCAAATCGAATTTCTAAATAAAACTTTTGAAATGGCACTTACTCTGAAACGAATATAATTTAATTTATTATCAGTTATGTGCACCGCATTGGTTGTGTATTATTTTTAAATAGACATTTTTATGTAATTGTGCACAATTTAAACTTTATATAACATTTTTAATAAATTAATATCGATAAATTGTATTACATATTGATTCTATATTTTTAATTTATAAATATTATTTAATAAAAAAAATTTAATTATTAATATTAATGAATATCTCTTACCCGTGACGGAATTCATACTAGTTTTAAACTTTAAAATCATAACATCGTTAATTCGTTATCCACCATTTAAAAGTTTCCCACATTATAAGTAAAAATAATCTTTTAAAAAAAAATGTAATGTTTTAAATAGCAGCACTATATATTTATATATACGTTTTATATTTTATTTTTATTAACAAATATATTTACAATTAAATACAGAAAAAAAAATATTCAAAAAAATGAAAAAAATTCAGTCGACTAAGTTGACCCACCCAAATCAATGCTCGAGTGAGAGCCTAGGTCAATTGAGTTATTAGCGTGGGCAATTGTACACTGGTCCAATTATTCGAAACTCGCCTCGCTTTCAACTTTGTCGACCGAGTCTTAGACTAACCAATTGAGTCAATTCGGTTTACAACACTTTACTTAGCATGGTAAAGTATATAAGTTCATCCGACACAAATTTGTCGTCTGTTCAAGGGTCTTCATTTTTTTAATCGAAAATGACCCATCAGATCATCATCCAACGTTTATATTTACATTGACTATAAGATCCGATGATCGATATGGTAAATTTGCATATTAGATCATGGTTTGTTCTAAGCCGGGTCGGAACCAATACGGAATTTAATTTCAAAATTCAAAAATATAAGTGCATGCTTGTTTACAAACATATATATAAAAAATAAAATCTAATTCCAACTCAAAATTTAATTCAAATTTAACTGTGGGAAACTATACTCAATGTCAGGGCCTGACTCAGAGCGACCTGAGCAACGGCCCAGGACCTAATTCAAAACGGGGCCTCAATTTTAAGGTTTAATATATCTAATTTGTAGGCCTAATATATACAATTAATTCAAACATATGATGGCCCAATTTAAAAAGGGGGGTTTATTATTTAATGTGTAATATGTCTAATTTGTAAGCCCAATACATACAATTAGCTCAATTTCATATTTCATGTACTAAATGCTTATTGCATAAAGTCACTAAAATAATACAAATATTGCAGGTTTTTTCACAAATATTAGAGAACTTCATTTACAATAACTAAAGTTATTTACACAACTTTAGTGAAATTCAAAATCAAAACCAACCAAGTTCAATATAATTTACTCTTTATTAGTTAATTATATTCCATTTTTTTCTTATCGACTTATGTATTATAATCACTACTTATTCCAATCAATTAATATCTCATCAAATTAAAAAGGCATTCCGCTAGGTAATAAAGTCTAAAATAGTATCTGTTTAATTCAATAAAATGCAATAAAATAATAGAAGACTTAAATTTCTCCACCAAATTATAAAAATTTAAATAAATGAAATATTCTACTTATACATAATTATATAATTTTTATGTAAAACAATGATGTTCATACTTATGATGAGGTCCATTTAAAATTTCTTATTAACGTCTTGCAACTAAGTAACCTTAGTTTCGTAAGATAGTTTTAGATATATAAAAAATCAGATTTATCTCATACAAGTTATATCATGCATTCATTCCAAAATTATGCAATGCAAGGCTTCATCCTTAAGTTATATGATTATCTCTGCAGCTCGAAACAACGTACTTATTGAAAACTTGTGCGGCTCCAGATCTATATAAGTTTCATAATTGTGAATGAAAAAAAAAAAGCATTATTTTTCATATTTTGCCCAGGGCCTAATAAATACCAGGACCGACTCTGCTCAATGTTACCATTATAATTAAATAACAACAATCAATTATCCTTATATCACATCAACTTATCCTCAATGTTACCAAAATAATTAAATAATAACAATAAATCATCCTTAAACATCACACATTACGTGTTCATCCATTCACGTAATTTTAAGTAGGGAAAATATTTTTTAACCTCTCAAACTATGTCGATTTTTAGAGTTTGCCTTACGAACTTTTTTCCTTGACAATTTGCCTCCCATAGTAATCGTAACTAACAATTTGCCTCCTCGATTGAAAACCCTAATATGGCACAAAAAGTTTTTAACTCAATTAACGATAAAATTTAAATTGATATTTAAAATTGATTTTGGGCTTTTATGGCCAGACGAACAAAATGAGGTATAGTTTGTCGATTTCTGAAAATTGTTACCTCTGTAATCGATCGACGAAGATAGTATGAGCATGTGTGTATAGAAAAAATTTCAACTCAAGTTTTCTGATAATCAAGATATCCAATTTTTATTGGGAGGTGTCATTTAAAAGCTTGCAGGACTAGTTTTCTAATGCGTAAATGTTATGTAAATCCAACGGTTGGATTTTGATCAGTAATTAGAAAACTATTGATCAATAGTTAGCTTTTTTTTAGGCTACTAACCAAAATCTGACCGTTGGATTTTCATAAGATTTATTTCGTTAGAAAACTCGTCTTCCAAGCTTTCAAATGAAACCTCCCAATCGAAAATCGATTATTTTGATTATCAGAAAACTTGAATTAAATTTTTTTTTATACACACGTGCTTCTACTATTTTCGTCGATTGATTAAAGAGGTGACAATTTTCAGAAATCGACAAACTATACCTCATTTTGTTTGTCTCGCCATGTATTTAAAAGCCCTAAATTAATTTTAAAGATCAATTTAAAATTTATTCGTTAATTGAATTTAAAATTTTTGTGCCACATTAGAGTTTTCAATCGAGGAGGCTAATTGTTAGTATCGATTACTATAAGACACAAATTATCAAAAAAAAAAAGTTCACAAAACAAACTCTAAAAATTGACATAGTTTGCAAGATTAAAAAAGATTTTGCTTATTTATTATTTTCAATCACATTTCCACTAATTTTTCATCAAATCAACGGACACTCACGCCCGCCGGAGTCCCGCCAGCCCCGTCAGCACCACGCCGCCCGCCGCCAGCACCTTGTTCAGATCTCCCAACCAATATATATATACGCTGTATGAATTTTGCCCTAATTTCAGCCGTCCTGTATTTCTTCCCTCGGCACGAATTTATCCATTAATTTCTTGAGCTAATTTGCAAATTTTACTAGCTGTTTCTTGTTCAATACATATGTTCTCCATTTCCTTGATCCGCAATTATTACTGAGATTAAAGAAAGAAATCTAAATCACTAGCTACTGTGATTTCTCTCAGATCAGCTGTTCTGGTCTACGTCTGACGTGGACGCTTCTTGAAAGATGATTGGTTCTGACACAAGTACATTGCCTGCTTTACTCGCTATTTATTTTTTGTATTTTCCCTTTTTATAGAAAAATTTGATCGAAATAGAGAAGAAAACTGAAAGCTTAACATTCAAGAAGAAGAAGAAGAAGAAGGTGAAGGTGAAACCCAGAAGCTGTCATGGAGGATAAAGACAGCTCTAAGTTGAACATTGCAATTATCCACCCTGATCTTGGGATAGGTACCTAAAGATTCATTTTTTCAGCCATATTTTGATTCATAGTGAAATTCATTTGAGACGAATTATTCATATTTCATACATGTAAAGAACAAGTCTTGATTAGTTCTTGCTGCTAATGTTGGGAAATTTTGACAGATTTTGTACTCCGCATTTGTTATACAAAAATAAGGATAATGTAATTCCTAATTAGTTGCTGTTCTAGGAAGCTTGGTTCACAATAGCTAATTGTAATTCTTTTATGGATTGTCCATTTGCCCCCTTCCTGTAGTTTTTGGTATTCGATTTATCGTCCATTTTTTTTTTCGACAATTTTTAGGTGGAGCAGAAAGGTTAATTGTTGATGCAGCTGTAGAACTCTCGTCCAAGGGCCATAATGTTCATATATTTACGTCACACCATGACAAAACGCGTTGCTTTGAGGAGACAGTCTCTGGTTTTATACCACTCTTTTTTCCTAATTTTTCTTTTTACTTTTATCTTTTTTCTTCTATAAGTACTCTTTCTCGATTCTGGATGGAATTTATACACTCTGTTTTTAATAAATCAAAAAATTCTGAAACACGTGTAGGTACTTTTCCTGTCACGGTTTATGGTGCTTTCCTGCCTCGGCATATCTTTTACCGTCTCCATGCAGTGTGTGCATATTTACGGTGTATATTTGTTGCTCTCTGTGTGCTGTTTTGTTATCCTTCGTTCGATGTTGTGATAGCCGATCAGGTCTCAGTCGTAATCCCACTGATGAAGATGAAAAAGCTGTCAAAGGTTAAATGCATAAAAAAAATGTTGTTTTTAATTTGTTATTGCTTATGGTCAGTGGATTTTAGTTTACGCAGTTCCTACTATTTTGTCTAGGTTATCTTTTACTGCCATTTTCCAGACCTGTTGTTGGCTCAACATACGACTATTCTTAGGAGAATCTACCGGAAACCTATAGACTTTTTGGAAGAAATAACAACAGGTGTCATTCATAATTTCATATATATAAAACCAAAATAATATTCTTCCTAGTTCCATCACACTATGTGCCTTTGCTGTAGGTATGGCCGATTTGATTCTTGTAAACAGTAAGTTTACAGCATCTACTTTCGCGAAGACTTTCAAGCATTTAAATTCACGAGGGATTAGGCCAGCCGTGCTCTATCCAGCCGTCAATGTGGATCAGTTTGATGAACCTAATGCTACTACTAAGTAACTGACATGATTCTATCTCTTGGTATCTTGAATTTGTAAAATTATCATATAAATATATTTATGAGACAGATGTTAGGAAATACATATAATTAATTAAATTATACTATGTCATCATCCATTCTTCTAATTCTTCTGTTTGCTGTGCTTTCAGGTTGAGTTTTCTGTCCATTAACCGTTTTGAAAGGAAAAAGAATATAGAATTAGCTATATCTGCATTTGCAATGCTCTGCAACAGCCAACAGGGTTTTCTTGAAGGTGACAGCAAAGACGGGATTTCCTTGATTGTTGCAGGTTAGTTTCATAATGTGTTTAAAATGTTAGAGCCTTTGAGGCTCATGAATATATGCATATTTTTTTAGGCAATGTTTTTTTTTTTAATTATTTTTTTTATCCTTTGCCTCTTCAATTCAGAAATGTCTATTATGCCACTTTTGGAAAAGGCAGGTTGCTCTTAATGAAATTGGATGAAACTTAGAGGGGTTTTCGTGTCTCTTTTCTGTCCCATAATATTATCAGATTTCTATTGCAAAATGCATTGTCTTGAGACACTTATTTTTGTCGTTTCCAGCTTTCTCAAGTAGAAGAAGCTTTTGTTTCTTTTCTAAATCTTATATTTTTGTTAATCTTATTATTAATTTGTTGGATATTAATTTTATTATATGAACTGTCTATGATAATTCTTACACATCCATTTCTTTTCTCAAATATATTGCCACCCCACACTGTTTATTATTTGGTTCTCAGAGATATGGTAACTGTTTTTCTATGACACCAATTATTATTAAATCCACTCGTGCATTTTTGTTCTTCCAATCAACAGGATTAGGTGAAATTTATGTTTCGTATGGACTTTTGTTTGTCAGGTGGCTATGATAGACGGCTCCGAGAGAATGTAGAGTATCTCAATGAATTGAAAGCTTTGGCCAAACGAGAAGGCGTAACTAACCAAGTCCAATTCATCACATCGTGTCCCACAACCGAAAGAAATACTCTTCTTTCACAATGTCTTTGCGTGCTCTATACACCACAGGTCTCAGATTGCATTAGCTACAATTATTATCTATTAAAGTTGGAAATTCTTAAAAAAAATAAATCTTTTTTTTTATTATTATTAATTTAGGACGAGCATTTTGGCATTGTCCCTTTAGAAGCAATGGCAGCTCACAAGCCCGTCATCGCATGCAACAGTGGGGGCCCGGTTGAGACAATAAAGCACGGAATTACGGGCTACCTTTGTGACCCTAGCCCACAAGATTTCTCCATGGCTATGGCTAATTTTATTCGGGATCCTCAAATGTCAAGAACCATGGGCCGGGAAGCCCGACAACATGTCGTGCAGTTATTTTCTACAAAGATTTTTGGGCAGCATCTGAATGCGTACGTTGTCGATACAGCTCGGAGAAAGAGAGATTGACATAAAACTTTTTGCAGGCAATGAAGATGATTGACCAGCTTAATAGTATAGAGATTACACCTAAAGCTTTTCCCTTAGAACTTAGAAGTATATTAAATGCTTCCTTCCTACATTGGTGACTTTCCACCAACTCGCGAACGATTTCAGTCTGAACTGAACTAAATACTGATAGAAACTCGACTGATTGTATGGGTATCTTGGACATTTATTTTTTTGCTGATAGTTTCATTTGATATACTGAACTGATCCTCAGCATTACAAAGGTTGACAAGCAGAAATCGTTTTAACTTAGAACAAATACAAATTTCCAGTCCAAAAGAAATCAACTTCTTCATCTATTTGCCTTGCTGAGGTAGAGATGGTCATAGATATGTCCAGATTTAACTAAAATATGCACAAGTCATCATGGAACTGCTACCAAAAAAAATAAATAAAAATGATACAACAATTGAATACGACCTAGCGCTATATCTTACTATCTTTCGAACAGATTACAACACAACTTAAATAACATGCAAAATTGCATTTCATTTATGTAAATAACTGGCTTCTCACTGACTCTACTTTGGGGTTTACGCCATCATGGCATTCGTCTTCAAGAGCCCATGTCAGCATTTCTGTACAAAATTGATCGTCCGCTTTGATCCATAAAGCCTATCAATATCCAAATGTGCACAAGTATGATCAGAGCACGAAATTTTCAACTCTTGTAACCAAAAGATTGGAAACCGGAAAGTGAGAAAAAGGGTACCTTGTGATAGTGTGTAATTGCAGCTGTATAATTACCCTGGAAAAAAAGGAAGACGCGTGAGAATTTTTTTCACCATTAGTTTTAGAAGGTAT